CGTGCAATGTGACGTAGACAGCGGTGTTCAAACACGGAAACCGAAAGTGTTGCGTGTACCCCGTTCTCACGGACCAATGCACAATGCAGTACACCAGACGGCTTGAAGCATGCATCAGCTTGTTCAGAGTACTCATTACAGTATGCATCCTCAAGTCAAATGTCGCACGGGGTGATCGTAACCGATGGTTAGATATAGTGAATTATATGGCTGAGGGTCGTAAACAGCGGCTGTCGTGCATCCTCTCAATTTCCTTACATCATTAGTCCACTGAACTTCTCAATTTCCTTTTCGATCTTAGTTTCAACCTTCCTGTTTTCCTTCTGTTGTTAGACCAAATGGGCCGCCAAAAGACAGCAACCAAATGCGACATATGGAAGTGCATGATTAATTGTTGTTTAAACTGAAGCTGAAACTTTGGTTTCCGTAAAGGAGCAGTAGGTTCTCGTGTTCCCAGAGTTTATTCTCTCTAGTGTTCACCCCACGCACACACCCACCGAGGTATACAATAAAAAAGGTCCGAAGTTGCCGCATTCACGTGATGGTCAGTCACATCGAAATTGCCTGTTTCGGGATCTCCTCGGTCGGCATTTGTTCTTTTATGAGATTGAAACTTGACTCACTCTAGTTTGAACGCCAAAAGAAGCGGTTGGCGTTGTCCATTGGTCACTTGCCCCCACTGCTCGCAGATGACGCAATCAATTCTGATCCGTGATCGACCGGTCGGTTAATTTGTATTATGTAATTGCACCATTGTGTCCACTGTCAGTCCGTGTATTTGTGTGTGCATTGTTGCTTGCGTGCTTGCGATCGATCAGGTTTTCATCTCCGTTTGTGTGTGTGACTGACAGCCCAACCGACAATATTATGTACAGTGGTGCTCTAAAAGGATACCTGGTCACGAATCTGTTTTTCCGTTCAGCACAAATTGTTATCAGATTTTGTTTTCCTCTCCTTTAATGCACCTTGCTCAGGCTCACATTTGTGGATTAGTTGCGGCCGGACTACATCCATCCCCGTTTGAGTATGCGGACATTGTGACTACAACCACGCACAAAACGTTGCGTGGTCCACGTGGAGCTCTCATATTTTATCGCAAATTGACCAGGGCGCCGATGAAATTGAGCAACGGGGTTTCGGTTCAAGTGAGTAGTATCATTGCCATACAGCCAATGTTTTTTTGTTTCTTCTTCTCTGAATCAGTACTGCCCGCTCATTTGCTTTCTGTGTACACCTTTTCAACACAGCAGGAATCTAGGCGCGAGTTTCGCTTTCCTTTGTTTCATCTGCTCTACATTCATTCCCAACCCGACGAGTTCGACCAATTTGTTTTATTCACTTCACTAATTTGACAACTACAATCGATACACTTTTGATCCATTGTTCCCCATCTAAGTGTTGCGACATAATTGATTACCTCTGCACCCATTGATTCGTCTTGCATCACGATTCCAGTTCGATTCGAATCTTGTGATGTCCACAAATCATGTGAAACTGATCCACCTTGTCGATGGATATAGCCGGTTTGTGTTTCAAAGCCAACACTTTTATGTGTGTGGACGACACTTGAGTGCATAGGTCAGCACATGGTTGGAAAATGTGGAGCTGATGGACGCCGGTCAATACGGTATTAAATCCGCTCGGGTTGCCGAAATCTGTTTCATCACAACCAGATGATTATTGCTGTTATTGTCGTCACGCGCGCTTGAAATACTTTTTTGCACCCAGACATCAAAGTGCAATGAACGGTAGAGTAGTCGGTGCCCATGGTCACAACGAAGGGTTGTGAGATGCTACTACTGTTCTGTGAGTAGTACGCAAAAGGATGCTGTTGGGCGGTCTCGTTCAACGGAAAAAAATGAACAAAAATTCTTGGAATAAATCGCTGTGCTCAAAATGATAAGCAGCCTGTTTCATTCAATATCCTGTTCCAAATAAGATATCTTGTGATATAAATGTCAAATTATCCATACCCTAATTCTGGTTCGCAATAAATAACTCTCCTCAAGCCAGCAACGGTCTTCTGGAATTATAACAACTTGAAAGAAATCTCTAACAACATCCTGCATACTACTAACAAATATGAGTAGTATCTCACAACAGAAGTACTGGTCGGTCCTGAGGTACTGTGGCGATCTTAATCCTGTGACTTTGACTAACTGACTACATAAGGTCTGAGTAGGAAAAACGTTCTATTCAAACCTACGGCAGCTAATCTATCGATCATCAGAATTGGGCGCTGGTGGCGGGGTTCAAACCGCGTTCGTTAGAATCTGATATGAGTAACAGCTGTTGGCTAAGATCACCGTAACCATACTTTTAAATGTTTTGGGAAATTCTAGTTACCAAGGTAACTGGCGAAACTCGCAATCTGATTAGTCGATCCACCAATTTTCTTTTTAATTGTTTCCCCGCAGTTGCACGAAAACATAAATGAAAAATAAAAATAAACATAAATTCGGTTTGTTTTTTCCTTTTTCCCGTAGCTGTCTGGCTGTGAATATAAGCTTCATTGTTTAAGTTCTTTCGGCTTTCTTCGTTTGATGGATTCTTGGAAGTCATTGCCTTGTAGTTTGAGACAGTTTTTTGTGGTTAGGTGGTAACAGCTTTACTGGTGTCCGGTTCAATACCACCTAATCTATCGGAGCCTTGTGTGGTTCGGCACTCCAAGTCCCAGGGCTAAGGGGTATCGGTTTCCATTACTGAACAGCAATCAGGTTTTCGTGAGTATGCGGTCCTTCTCGTCTACTGTTTATCACACATAAATGTGTAATGAGATATTAAGAAAGATTGTCGATCGCATTTGTGATCTGGCTGGAAGCCATGAGAACCTTAAAGAATTTGAGGTCCTCGAACGTGGTTAATACCTATTGCCAAGGTGATTTTTCCCGACACCACCAGTGGTACCCAAGCATTTGGTCGCTTTTCTCATGCCCTTAATTTCCTTCTGTTTGATTCCTTTATTTGGGTAACATACAGTCCGTTGTTTAGTCTTCACGTTTTGTTTATTTGTTTAAAAAGAAATAACTAGTCATGACCAGAGCACAAAAGCT